CAGCAAAGTGAATCAGTTACACATATACATATATCCACTCTTTTTTTAGGTTCTTTTCCCATATAGGCCATTATAGAGTATTGAGTAGAGTTCCCTGTGCTATACAGCAGGTTCTTATTAGTTATCTATCTTATATATCGAGTAGTGCGTATATGTCAATCCCAAGCTACCAATGTATCCCTCTCCCCCGTATCCCCTGGTAACCATAAGTGTGTTTCCTACATCCGTGGCTCTATTTCTGTGAAAAACTAAATTTTAATTAATTAAATAAATTAAATAGCCACACGTGGCTAGTGGCTTCTGTCTTGGACAGCAAAAGCTCTGCTTGCATTATGGTCCCTGGGTCCTCATTACCATCCTGAGAAGTACTAATCTCTCCATTTTATACACAAAGAAACTGAGGCTTAACGGGGCTAAGTCACTCAGATCTGTCTGATGTCCAAATCCATGCCTTTAACTGCTGCGTTATCCTGCCCGGTGCGTGACCCTCAGTACCTGCTTCCGCTGGGGGTAGAGAGAGGGCGTGCACTTTCTGCAGACCTGTGGGTGGGTGATGTCTTAACGTCTTAGCCCTACACCCCACCACCTGCTGGTTATTGAGATGACAGTAGATCTACATAAAGTGGCTCACGCACCAACAAGAAAACCACTCCCAATCCTGATGGCGTGATCTTGGTCACACAGGCAGTGTGCTTGCGCACTGAAGGTGGTCACCCCGCTCTGGGTGTTTGACTCTGTTCAGATCCCACTGGAATGTGCTGTGGCCAGAGCCAGGTGGAATGTTTTCCTTGGCTGACAGCAATGTGCTTTCCCACTTGGTTGTGGGAAAGTCAGGGAGTTCAGTCACCGAGGGGCATTTTTGGGATAGGTGAGACACTCCGATGAGTTGTCACTGGCTGCCAACACTGGAACCCTGAAAACCTGTCACCCGGGTGGCTTCCTTCAACTGTTTTCCTTTGTTTGAAGGTTTCTGCAGGCAGCAGACCAACGGTTTGCAGAATCTGCCTCAGGGAAAAAAACCGTGTTTGAGTCCTAACCTTGCATTTCTATGGTTTTACTTACTACCTTTGGAAATTCTTTCCCTATTTGTTTTCTGAAGTGGTTGGCTCCCAGAAGGGATTTATTAAAGGGAGACCAAAGATACAATCTAGGGTTCATCTGAAGCATAAATGTTTCAGGATAATGTTCACTACCTTTGGTGATTTCTGACTAGTTATTTGTTGTAACTTTTTTCCCTTATCTCATATTTTAGTGTGAGATGTCATTTTAGTTCTCTGGAAACCTAAGGACTATTGTTCTTATGGAAAACAAAGCTTAAGAATGACAGTATTTTAGAAAGAGCTCCCTCTTTTCGGACTATAATCTTGGGCCCCTGTGGGTTTTCCTGTAAGGCCGTGACTGACACGGCCTTAACTTCAAGGTAGGTCAGTTTTATTGACAAGGACGAGTGTGTCAGCTCCCTAAAGCTGGGGTAGTTCTAAGAGCGGGGACAGCAGGTTTTGCTTTCTCTGCGTGGACTCACAGTTTTTGGTCTGGTGGGAATTAATGAATACAAATACAAAAAGGTAAATACAAAAAGGTATAAGGCGTGGTCCTGCCCTCACTGAGCTTACAAGCTCATGTGGCGGCAGAAGTGAGCAAAGCAGGCTGGCGTGAGCGGAACAGAGCGGGCAACAGGAATGACTGGGGACCGACTTTGGCTTCACTGTTGGGGACCAGCAGGAAGAGGTGGAAACTGGGGAACTTGCGGGGGGAGGCAGGCTGTGTTCCAGAGAAGCTGGGCGTCTGCCTGGAGATGTAAAACCTGACTTCCAAAACGTGGACAGCTAATTACAACCACCAAGGCACGAGGCAGACTCCTCTACCATGGTATGAAACACGTCTGTGGGCTGAATACCACCCCTGGGCCGCCAAGATCCAGCGGGGAAACTGAGGTAAAGAGGCGGTAAAGGTTCACGTGGCCACGCCTCCCCACAGACGGTCAGCTTTCCCACACTGTAGCAGGGGCTCTGCTGATTCTGTAGACCCTGCCCTCGGCCCACAGGAAGGATTCATTGAGAGTCTGTGCTGAGGGTAACGAGTGTAGGAATGACCCTGACCTTCCTCTGGAGGAAGGTTTACCTGCAGGGGGAAGGTGCCAACACCTTTCCTGGAAATAAGAGCTATTTGAGGGGAACTCTGTGAGGCTGAGACAGAGTGCCCTCAGGGGCAACAGCTGAGAACATGGGTTTCGGGGTTGGAATTGATGGGACTGAACCCCAGCTCCACCATTTATGGGCTCTGGGGCTCCGGGCAAGTCGCCTAACTTCTCTGAGCCTCCGTTTTCTCATTCATACAATAAGGGCAAGAATCTCTACTTGAGAGGGAAGCTGGGAGAATGGGAGGACTCCACGAGTCACTGTATGTGGAGTGCTGGGAGCCGGCCCGGCACACAGTTACAGCTTTCACAGAGAGCTTACTACTATTATTAACAGTAATAGCTATAGGGTGAGTGGGGAGAGAGACAGCCGGTCTTCCTGACCACCAGCACGTAATGGTGTGTAAATGTGATGAACAGTGATCTCCCTGAGCCACGAGCAGGGCTTGGGATCTGGACCGAACAGAACAAGGGAGCCACCACCCCCTGCTCTCAGAAGGCGTCCGCCAGCCGAAGGGGGCTCGGCCACAGGCAAGGTTACCTGCTGACCCAGGCTCAAGGCTGCCAGCTCTCAGAGTTTACAACAGTCCCTGATCTGGTGGAAAAACTGAACTTCGGACACACTTTTGATCAGAACTCCCCTCTCTCTCTCCCATCACACAGCCCGGGGCAGCCTGAGGTCCCGGCACCGGGCACCACTGGAGGGGAGAGGGCCTTCCGCCTGCTGCACTGGTAGGCTTCCTGAGATCTAGGCCAAGAAGCCACCCTTCCTTCAGGGCCAGTGTTTTTCCATACTGACCAGCCTACGATAAAAAATAATCCCATCAGCCTCCCAGAGGCTCCTCTGTGTATTTTAATAAGAATGATCACCATGAGTGACGAAGACTATTGTCATCATCGTGCTTTGTATTTAGGGGTGGGGAGGGCTCTTGGCTCTGCAGACGTGGCCTGGGGGCCTCACCCAGGCCTCCCAGGAGGAAGGTGGCCAGCGTGCCTCTCCAGGCTTCAGAGGCACCCCGAGGGGCCTGCCCAGGCTCACACAGCTGCACCTCAGGAAGAGGAAAGCCCTACCCACCACCACTTACTGTGGCAGGCTTTCCCGGTCCCCAGTCTCTCCTGGGCTACTCATCCGATACCCTTAAGCATCATGGTTAAGAATGCAGTTTTAGGAGCCAGAGAGGCTGGGTCTGGATGTGAGCTCTGCTGTGTGATCTGGGCACAGCTTCTCTGGGCCCACCTCACGGGATCATTCTGAGGATTACACGAATTAACACATGGGTCATGCTTAGAACGTTGCTTGGCATGAAGCAAAGCCCAATAAATGCTGGCTTTTATTAACATTTATTATTATTTACTGGTAGTATTAGTTTGGATCATATGAAATTGCTGACTTTTAACCGTTTTTGACCTATAAAAATGGCAACTTCATAGACATGGGTGGTTCTTAATGGGGGTAGAGGGCAATTCTTCCTCTGCCCCCAACTCCCCTACCCCCATCCTGGGGGACATCTGGCAATGTCTGGAAACATTTTTGGTTGTCACGACTGTTGGGGGGAGGTGGTGCTACTGGCACCTAGTGGGTAGAGGCCAGGGTTGCTAACACCCTTCAGTGCACAGGCGAGCTCTCACAGCAAGGGGTTACCCAGCCCCAAAAGTCAACAGTGCCAAGGCTGACTATAGGGCCACCTAACAGTACTCCACCACGCACAGATTTACTTCCCTAAAACACCCCTTGCCACGAGTGGCACGGCTCCCACTGCCTAGAGAATAAAGGCTCACTTCCAACAGGCTCCGGCTTCCAATTCATCTCCAGTCTTGTCTCCTCCCTACTGTGGCCTCACTGACTGTAACGGCAGGTCGCCCAACACTCCAGGCCTGGAGCAACCTCTCTGCTCTCCACACCAGCCAATCCCCGACACCTGCTCCGGGAAGCTTTCCTTATGGGCCTTCCTTGCCCAGTCGGGCTGACCGTGGCAATCACTGGTGGCTCCTAACTAACGTGACTCCTGGGTCCCATTCCTGGAGATTCTGATTCAGGGCACTGGGGTGGGGCTCAGCTATGTTTTCAGAAGCAGCCCCCGGGGGCCCATGCTCAGCCTGCAGTGGCAAATGCCACGCCCTGGCCTGCATCTTTATTTCCAAATTGCTTTGCTCTGTTACCACTCACGTACACCAACCCTCTGTGTGCACTTCTGGCTTATTTTATTAGCTGGATGAGGGCAGAGACCTCATCTTAAGAGACTCCAGCTGTTCAAAGGGATCCAAACAAGTGCCTTGCCCTCCAGAAATTCTAAGTAGTGAATTAAACTTGAACCAAAATTAGGAGTTTGGGATTAACAGATATGCACTACTATATAAAAAATAAACAACAAGGTCCTACTGTAGAGCACAGGGAACTATATTCACTATCTGGTAATAACCTATAATGTAAAAGAATCTGAAAAAGAATATATTCTTTATATAAACAATATATAGGAATAACTGAATCGCTTTGCTGTACACCTGAAACTAGCACAACATTGTAAATCAGCTATACTTCAATTAAAAAAAAAAAGTGAATCCAGGAATTTTCAGACTTTGTTGAACCCAGGAGTCACCTGAGGTGCTTGTTAAAAATGCAGATCCCCAGGCTCTAAACTCTAGGAGTTCTGCCTCAGTGGCTCTGGGCCAGGGCTCTGGAAACTGGATTTTTCACCAACTGGGTTTGAAGCAGGTGTCCCTCAGCCCGCTGTTCTGATTCTCTAACACGTCGGCTGCAAGGCTCTCAGGGGCCTCTGGCATGGCTTCTGGAGGGAAGTGCTCTTTTAATGGGTTGCTGGCGCATGGGCAGCCCCAGCACCCCAGAACCCCAGGGGACACTTACACACATGCTGGCTTGTCCTCCTGCACCAAAAACCTGCAGGTTCCATGGAAGCAGAACTGACTGTGGGAAGCAGGGCAGTCATTAAAATGGGACACCACAGCTGCGGCCACGGGTGGGTCTGCTGGGGAGAGAAAAGACATTCGGCTCAGATCCAAGGCATAGCCAGACATTCCACGGGTCCACCCCACTGGAGAGGGAGCCTGGATGGCTGGGTTTTCTGGTCTCTACCAGTACCTCCTCTTCAGCTCTAACTTTCTAACAGCCAGTACAGGACCAGAGATGCCTGCAGTGTGAGCCTTCCAGTGGGGCTTTACTTATTTACTTAACTTTGCAGAAAACAAAACAATCTTTCCAAAAGACTCAGTGTAATTCAGAGACACCAGAGCAATTGTACTTTTAAAGCCCGTTCCCCAAGAAGGACCTAATTTTACTTTTGCAAGGTGATAGTGATGACTTTTTAAAAGAGAGCCTTCATAAAAATCTGTTTTAAAGGTAGGAAACCGAAGAAAGGCACAAAAGAGTACTCGAAAGCCATTAAATTGATGCTGAGGAAGAATAATGACGCAAAAAGATGTTCATGACATATGACTGTAAGTGAACTAGTGCATTTCCAATGTGGTCTGTATAGTATGATTCTATTTAAACAAACAAACAAACAGAAATTTAGATGTGAGGAAGTCTGGGAAGGATTTACATGAACATGGTGGTAGGGCCTTTCTGGGGTGGTAGGATTAGGCGTGATCATGCCATGAAGATGACTTAATGCATAGAAGTCCACCCAGGAGCGGCACAGGCAGTACTGGGAAAGCCTTGATGTGGAGAGAGAGGCAGCAGAGTTGGGTCCACTCGGAGCCCTGGCACCTGTAACTCTCAAGGGTTTGGGGCATCACCAAACCTCTCAGGCCACCTGGAAGCACGGTAAGGAACCACACATGACCTAATGGCCAGCCCAAAGGGTATCACTTTGGATTTATTTTATTAGACTCCAATAGCCTTGTTTTGTCCAAATAACCCTTGAGACATAGTAGATAGCAATTTCAAGATGGCATGATACATGTTTCTGTTGCGTCTTTTAGGGGGCCCTCTTATATTTTGTGTTTCGGGCATTCGGGGAGTGGGTCTTTCTCAAGTATTTTTTGGGGAAAAAAATATGTGCTTGGAGTTCTTGCTCTTTGAGTGAATTAAGCCCCAATTTCATACTGTGGGATTTTTGACCACCACGAAATAGTAAACTCATGTTGCTGTCTATGACTTCCAGAAGAATCATAATTTTGGAAACCTCATAATTCCAGTGGAAAAAGCAGAGGCTAAAAATATAGCAGAGTCCGTGATGCAGAAGGCGAGAGGGCACTCAGAGGTTATGAGTGTGGGCTTAGGAGGCAGAGAGACACGGGTCTGGGTCCTGCCTCTGCCGCCTGGATGCGCTGCTGAGCTTCCGCCCCTGTGAGATGGGGAGTCCACTGCCTCAACGTGGCCCTGAGGCTGAGCGAGGCCAAGCGGGTTAAATACTGTGCTCAGCAAATTGTCTGGTACGTATCGCTCAGCTGTTAGCTCTTTTGTTATCATAGCTGACAATCCCACTATGCTAATGAGTCCCCACATGTGACAAGACCACTCTAGTATATAATCTCCCCCTCCCTCCATAAGTTCAGGGCAGCATAACTAGAAGTCAAGGTGGGCCCTTCAGCTACTAAGATAGTGACTTTCACATGTGAGGACAAGCTGGGAAGCCCAGAGCCAGGTGCTGATGGCGACGCAGGGCTGTTGGACGGCCCTGCTCTTGACGGCCGCACATCCCTGTCCAGCAGGGGCCTCTGGGACATGGGTTCCAACTGCCTTGGCTGCTAACAGCTACCCGTGAGTCCCAGGCCCAGGTGGCCGATGAGTGACTTGGCTACTTGCTGACAGCGGACACTGGGATGGTAAGTTGAAGCTGGAAGGGTCTGCTGTAGTTCACATAACTGGTGTCTCTGTGCTGACTAAACTCATCAAGGGGCGAATATGGAGAGACGAAGTGGCTGGAGATTAGTGGATCTAATTTGATTCAGACATTAAAAAAGGCTTTTGCTAAGCTCTACAAAAGGCCATTTAGACAACCATCTCCAAGGGGCTAGTGGGAGTCCCTTGTCAGGGCTTAGAGCCGGGCTTCTTAAAATGTGGTCCAGGGACCAGCAGCCTCACACCCCCGAGAACCTGTCAGAAGGCCAAGTTCATGGACCCCACCTCACACTATGGAATTAGGGTCCTTGGGGTGGGGCCCAGTAATCCGTGTGACAGACTCTCCAGGTGGTTTTTTTAGAAGTTGGGTTTACTGAGGTAGAATTGATATACAGTACCGTTTGCCCTACAGGTGATTCTGACGTGCACTAATGTTTGAGAGACAGGCTTGTATCAGTGGAAACAAAGGATAGAGACAAAAGCCCTCTCAGAGAAGTAAAATGACAGGGAACCTGAAAGAGATCCTTGTTGGAACTGATCATCTTCCAGCTCTTCAAACTCCTGTATGATACTAAAGCCTGGAATCTGCTGAGGTTCTCTGTGGTCAAGTGTCAGGTCAATAGAAATACATTAAAAGGAAACCTCAGGATCTGTCTTTGGGAGCTGACAGGGGAGGGGCAGACTCAATGCCACGATCTCGTTTAACCTGTATTTATGGCTATTTGGCCTCATCTCATAAACGACTTGAGAAGGCTTTATAAAAATAGGTACCATAAAAAGGAGACACAAATGGGAAAGACGTCTGTGTGTGTGTGTGTGTGTGTGTGTGTGTGTGTGTGTGTGTGAGAGAGAGAGAGAGAGAGAGAGAAACACAGAGAGGGAGGGACGGAGGGAGAATTAGGTGGGGGGAGGAGGCAGAGGTGACACACAGACAGGAAGGGAAAGAGGGAAGGAGGGAGAGACAGAGATGGAGAGAAAGGGCCAGAGAAGGGGAGCAGGGCAGAGAGGAAGAAACAGAGAGGCAGTGAGAAAGGGAAGGACAGAGCAGAGCAAAGGAATATAAGGGCAGGGGTTGAAAAGAGCAAAGAGCTCAGGTATCAGGTTACATATGAAGATACACGTCAGACAGTCCCGCGCATGTGCTGAAGCGCCATGTCTCCTAGCCACCTAAGCAAGGGTGTTCACAGTCCATTAAGTAGAAATGCACCTATTTTGCATTTGCAGGACAGACTCAGCTTTGCCCAAGTCTAAGGTCAGAGAGCAACCTCTCTTCTGCAGCTGCTTTTGAAAGGGACTTCACGTGTTATGGTGGACGACATCCTCCACGAAGACAACAGAGAGGCATCTGCCAACGTAAACCGTCTGTCGTTCAACAGCTCACTAAGAGCCGAAGAGCCCAGGCAATGAGGAAACTCCCTGCCCTGGTCACAGTGGTGGCAGCAAATGCCTGCTGGATTTGCTCCCTGCGGTCAGAGACCAGGGTAAGGAGGGGAGTCTGATGCTTAGAGCTTGGGGTCCCACTCCTCCACAATCCCACCGTTCCCACTCAAGCCCAGGTGCTGAGGGGACCAAGGGAGCTTGATGCTAGTCAATGATCATGATGACTAAAAGGCTATTTATTTTAAACACCTTTTTCCTGATTACAAAAGTGATACATCACTGTGGAAACCTTTTGTAAATGCCAATGTAGAATAAAAAAAACATCTTAGGGAATAAAACCCATCTTCAATCCACCATTTAGGGAGAACTATGTAACTACACGCTGCCTGCGTGCCTGCACGCACGCACGCACGCACATACGCACTCATGTAAACTTCCTGTTTCTATTCCGTTACACAAGCTTGTCCTCCTAATATAATCCCAAACATCTTAAAAGTGAGCATTTAGTTCAAGACTGCATTGGGAGCCATCGTGATCCGTAACCCCGAGCGGTCCATCGTGCAGAGTGAGGGGGGGCGGTCCTGTTTCCAACAGCACATTCAGCGGCTTTGGGGGGATGTGGTTTGCACTGGGGAAGTGGACGGGGAGGAGGGAACCAAATACAGTCCGCAGGTGGGCCACATCCTGGCCCTCTGCGCTTGCTGCAACCTCAGTGGGAGGTGTAGGCTCCTGTGCCTGGAGGTGCTGGGCAAGCCTCATGGGCTGAGGTGCTAAAAGCCCTGCACAGTGTGACAGGTCAAGGGGAGGCACTGCTCTTGTTTTAGGGCTGTTTTTTTTGTTTGTTTGTTTTTTTTTGGTACGCCGGCCTCTCACTGTTGTGGACTCTCCCGTTGCGAAGCACAGGTTCCGGATGCACAGGCTCAGCGGCCATGGCTCACGGGCCCAGCCGCTCCGCGGCATGTGGGATCTTCCCGGACCAGGGCACGAACCTGCATCGGCAGGCGGACTCTCAACCACTGCGCCACCAGGGAAGCCCTGTTTTAAGGCTTTTAAAGGTGTTTGCCTCAGACACCACTAGAATCAGCAATGAAAACCCCAACACTGCAGCACGCTGAGCTCACACAGACAAGACCGGTCCTACTGATGTTCCCAGAAGCTTCAGGGGTGCTCTGGAGGAGAGGGACTCGGGGGGAGGCTGGGAGGGGAGAAGACAGTCACCACTTTCTGAGTGTGGGTTACGTGCCAGGTGCTGGCCTTACGTCCAGACAGGGCAGGCGGTCATAACAAGTGGAGGATTTGCTAGTAACTTAAATAACAATGAGCTTTATAAGGAAAGGCCCCAACTTCCAGCATCTTCCCAGAGAATGAGTCTCGAAGCCTCTCTCTGTCTCTCTCCTTTCCTCCTCCTCTCCCTCTCCCTATTCTTCCTTTACCCTCCTCTACTTTCTTCCCCTTCTAATTTTTCTTTTGCTCCTTTCTGAAAACTCAAGGAAATATCAAAGTGAAGGAAGGAGAGGCCTAGACACTTAAAATGGAAAAAACCCACCTCATTTAGAAAAGGAAGGCAGTAAAGGCCAACAGGGAAACTCCAAGGGGGGGCGGGGCGGAAGTCCAGGCAAGGGAGGATAGGGCTGCCCCTTCCCCCGGGCCCAGGACCCTGCCCTCCTCTCCTCCAGGCACCAGGTCTGATTAGCACGCAGGCTGACTGGAAAATCAAATGCTCTGGTTTGAGGAACAGACATACCAAGCCCATCTGCCGCGGGAGTTTCAAAGCCGCTCAGTTCCTGTTGCTCTGAAATT